GTTGAAATGAGCACCTTTCAAAATGAAACCCTTGAAATCTACTGAGCTGCTTCAGCTCTCCCTGCAAATCCTTCTCTTTTGCCTCATTTCTGTCTCTGTCTAGCTCAGTCTCACACATGACGCCCAACCAAAGCCTTCCACCCAGAGGGCTGCCCAGTGGTCTTTGTTTTGCTTGGTGGTTTGGAGATTGCTATCATTTCTTAGAGAAGTTTTGTTTCTTCGTAACTACCCCAAATCACGGTGTGGTGACACACACCCATTTTAGCAAGCAAAAATGCCAGCCCCTCAAATCATCATCAGCAAGCTTTGGTCCAAGACACCACTCCCAGTGACAGAAAACCTGGACTGCAAAAACCCGTGTCCTACCCACCGACTGACTGAACAACCCTGCAAAAGGCACTTCGCCTGTGCATGCCCCTGTCTCTCCCCACTCTGTTTCATGTGCTGAGGCAGGCAGGTTTTCTCACTACATGTTTGCACAAAGTCACTGTTGGGAATAATGTATAACAGTCCTTCAAGCAAACAGACATTAGCCTCAGATCATGATCCTCATTATTTTTACCATAGTGGGATCAAGACGAGCCAACCATACTTGCTGTTGTAAGTTCATTCCTGCAGGTTTATTGTCATTTGATAGGAAACTACAGTACTAAAAACTTTTATGCAAACATCAGATTGGCTGCGTAACTTTCTGTTCCAAGCTGCAAAAAAAAACGTAGTGTCAAGAGAAGTACCTACGCTTCACTGCAGAGCTCTTTGCAGTGTTCAAGGTACAAGGAGCAGGTTTGGAAACACAAGCCTAACTCAAGAATTGGATGACTGCTTTTTCTGCATGTGACCAGCAACCAAGTAAAAGCTCTCAACAAAACATCTTTACACGTACCCAAAGGTGATCAAAGTCCAAGCTGATGCACTCAGAGCATCTTCAGTCAATGAATAAATGGGATCTGGAATTGGAAAACAGCTAATGCTATTTATTCACACTACCCCATGCCCCAAACAACACTCAATCTGACTCCAATTTATCCCCTTTCCCCCACTTCCTTCCACTGCTTAGCTTGGCCTCTCCTGCCCTAAATGGTTAATGCCTGGAATCCACACACATTTATGCCCTGCAGTGAGTTTATTTTCATCTTGGCTGTAGCTAGCCCCAAAAAGCCACTTCTGCCTGGGTTCAATTTAAATCAAGATACAACAGAACTAATTAAGTCTGCTAGCTGGGATCTCAGAAGCAACCTAAGCACAGGAATACAGAACTCTCCTTCCAGGCTCATTTTCCGCAGGGAAAGGCGTAGGAACCCTGCTACAATGTGCAGAGCAGATGTCCTCTGAGGCCCAGACTTTAACAACAGTTGCCTAGATCACACTGGGCTGCAGGAAAGGCGGTAGTGTTATGACTCGAATTAAGTTGGGCAATAGAAGCCAGCCAAACCCGTTTTTCTAAAGTCAGCCTGGAAGTCACTCTGGTGGAACACAGCTCAGGGGTCTCAGTCATTTTGAGAACTACTTTGTTACCCATGAAAAATATCTCCCCAGCAATCTTTGGTCATCAGAAGATATTATTAGATGTTGATATTCTCATAACAGATGACCTCCTTTGAGTACTCAGCTAACCACTGAAAAACATTACTCAGGCAAACGGAGCTCACGTAGGCACCCGGCTAGCGGGCCTGCCCCCGCTGCACAGCGCTGCCCACACGGAACCCGTGAATAAGGAACCTACGTGTGCCGTGTGGGTTGCAATTCTGGTAGGAAAGTCAAGGCATTTAGTGCTTCACCGTTTATTTTCTGTCTGTGACAGTCTGCAAGTAATTTAGGTGTCCTACCCACCCCACCGAGCTAAAGGAAGAATTATAACCTGGTTTAGCTCCACTGGCAATGGGTGTAGATTTGAATATTCTAAACAGTCATTTACTATCCTTGTCTGTAGTAAATGACTCCTTATGCAGACTTGCAAGTAAATAAGATTAAGATTTCAACTACAGAAGTGACAATTAAAAGTTATCAAGGTTCTGATCACAGAATGGTTTGGGTGGGAAGGGACCTTAAAGCCCACCCAGTGCCACCCCCCTGCCCCGGGCAGGGCCCCCTTCCCCCAGCCCAGGGGGCTCCCAGCCCCGTCCAACCTGGCCTTGAACCCTTCCAGGGAGGGGGCAGCCACAGCTGCTCTGGGCACCCTGGGCCAGCACCCCACACCCCCCCAGTGAAGAATTTCTGCCTTACGTCCAATCCAGCTCTACCCTTGTTCAGTTTAAAGCCATTACCCCTCATCCTGTCACTACATGCCCTGGTAAAACATCCCTCTCCAACTTTCTTGTAGGCCCCCTTTAGGTACTGGAAGACTGCTATAAGGTCATCCTAGAGCCACATTTCCCCCCCAGTCTCTCTGCAAGAGATTTGAGTACTGTCACAATACAAGAACTCAGCACAGGCAACAGCAACCACGGGCTGCTATTTTACCCTTGAAGCTTTCTTTCTCATTCTGGAATTGAAATCTTGCTGTTGGATGGAAAACAGAAAACCCTCATGCTAACCACAACTCCAAAGCCTGCAAGTGTTTCTTTGAGACTATTTCCTAGAGTCAGCAGAACTGGCTCCAATGAAGCAGAATATTTTGGTGATAACAGCAGATCCTACCTGGCTCTGCTTCTATGTCTTTAACGGTAACGTAGGTATGGCCAGGGCATCCTCACGCCCTTCCCAAGTTCAGGGCTAGAAATCTTGCAGCAATGGGTTGGTGTTATGCCTGCACTGACCTGTGGCAGAAGTCAGAGTGACACCGAGCAGGCCCAGGTAGCTTTGCCCAAAGCTAAACACCAGCCCAAAGTGGAAATTCCACACAGAGAACAGAAACTTCCTAGTAAAACATGTCAACAAATTTAACAACATTTTAACAATGAAAAAAACCCCCACTTCAGTTGCAGATGTTCAGGGCCTTCTAAAGCAACAAGAACATTTACAAGTCAAGACTAAAGAAACCAGACTGCCTTGTTTTCAGTGTTTCTGTCTCTATTGCCAAATAACTTCACTCTTCAGCCCCAGGTGCCCCAACTGGTCCTGCATTTCCTGGGACTGTACGTCACTGCATGCATTCTGGGCTCTCTTTCCATGTGAGTCAACTAATTTTTATAACACAAAACTCTGCTGTGGGGATAACTTGCTATTTCAGCAGGTTCAGATGGAAGCAGTAATTAGATAAAATTGCTCTTTTGCCATGACACAGAGAAAATGCACATGGCCCCCACACAAAGCAGACAAATCCAAGAGGTGATTCCAGGCCTATGCCACACGTCCACAGAGTGAGCCTCAAAACACCTACCACATCCTTTTCTAAGGGGAAGAAAAACAACAAACCAACAACCCCACACTAACACAGGTAGCTCAGGGCCAGAGTAAGGGCTTCGCAGCATAGATGTGTCTAGTCCAGGACAGAGGGGGGCTAATGCCAAGTAATACTGGCCACCAGTCATGGCACACCTCAATGCTGGGGAACCAGGGCCAGATGCTTCTCTCCACAGTTATACTGCTAAAATCTGTGCTCAGTCTCCAAAGGCTTTGGTGCTATTGCAGTGCAGCGGTGCTCACACACATGGGAAGACCATCCCAGAATATATATAAAACCCCACACAGAAGCACAAAATAAAAGCAAAGAGCAAGAAGTTGAAAGAGAAATTGAAAAAACCCAAATAGAACAGGGATGTCATTTCAAAGAAAACTTCATGCAAGAGCTGCAAAACTTGCATCTGATGTACAGTAAGCTGCAAAAGAATTATTTATAAAGCCCAATGACACAGATTCTTCCACTGCTGAAGTGACAAAGAAAGATAAGCCATTTGCTTTGACAGCTTCACTGTCGGCCTTTGGCATTCAAACTTTTGATGTCTGGAGTTTAAGGCAAAAGATTTTTAGATTCCATTTTTTTTTTTTTCCAGGACGCTATCACATGAAAAGAAATAACAAAAGTTGAAAAGTTCAGACTTGCCAATTTTCCATTTGTGAAACTGCTGAACACAATTAGCTTGAATAGCACGTTTACCTGCCAACGTGAGGGCAAGACCCTTTCTACAAACTGCAAGACAAGAAAAGCTGAAGAAAGTGCAACTAGCCCCTAATCAAGGCATCACACAGATGTGTGCTCACTGTTTCTGACCTACCACAGATCAGAAAGACACCCTGATCTCCACTGAAAACTCAAGTGAAGCAAAGCTCACTTTTATTTGAACAAAACCCCTGAACACTTAACCTACAATCTGAAAGAAGAAATCCAATTAGGTGAATCATGGTGACATCGTCTCTTTAGCAATAAAGATAATAATGTGTGAAGTTTCACGAGAAAAGGGAGTGAGGCTTACAGGGTACAGAAAGATGTTATTTCTCACCATATTCTTGTCTATAACCACACCACAGAAGTGCAGCTATTAACTGTAGATTCAGCACAGGAACAGAGGACTTGCTGTCAACAACCTGCTGGCACTAAGACAAAATGCTGCAGTCTGTGGTGATCTCCAGCTAATTGCTCGATTCTGATCACCACCTGGGTGGCTTCTCAGAAAGAAAACTCCAGATTTTGCAGATATTACATTGGGGAATTAATGCTTCCCACTGATTTGCAAGAAACCAATACTTTGCTACAGTTTGTTATTCTAGCGCAAGGTGTGGATTCTGGTTACCCAATTTTAACCCGCGTGGCCAAGCAGGAAATACGAAAGGCAGTTTCTAGGAAGTAAGTGAAGAATATGTTGTGATGCAGAACAAACTGCCAGAATTCACCACAGAAGGCGGCAGGCACTTCAGTTAAAGGTAAGCAGTATCTAGAGATAAGGGATGAAGTACAGAGAGAAGCTGGACGGTCAAACAGACTACAGTCAAGCGGTAAATCATTCGCAGTCAGCAGAACAGAAAAACTTTCTTCAGGAGCCAACCGCACCCCTTCACCAACCTTAACGCCTGCGGTTAAGGTCCGTTTCAAAGGTTGCAAGATGAGCAGAGCCAAAAGTTACCTTCCACCCAGCCCTCCTCCTGCTGCGCTCTCCTCTGGGCCATCATCCGGTTCCCCATGTTCCTCCGGCGCCTTGGCATCCCCTCTCCCCGCTCTTCCGCGTGGGGCCGAGGCCTGGCCGCTGCTGCCGCCGCTGCATTTCCCTGGTGTTCCTCATCAGCTGCAAAAGGGAAATACGATGAGAGGCTCGCCATCTCTGCTTGCTGCAGCTGGCCTTCTGCCCGTCAGCCTCGCAATCAGAAGCGCGATACCGGTGGTGTTTTCCAAACGAGAGGACGCTTCCCCGCTCTGGTGTGGGATTTTTTTTTTTTCCCTGCACGGCAGGAGATACGTGCAAGGTGCTTTCCCGTGATTAAGCGGGATCATGCACTGGAACCTTCTTATTTGTGCACAGTGCTCTGTGCAATGGAAATTTTATCCTGACAGCAGTCTCTTCTGCAACAGCATACAGATCATTGTAAAGAAAAAGCTGTAGCTCTGTGCTGCTAATGTTACTTGATCTGACAGAGCCCCCCCCCCCCAAACCTGAAAAATCACCACACAAAGACACACACACCTCACCAAATGCTCAAAAAATATTTTTATTTAATCTAAACAGATTAATCTGCTTTTCCCTTCTGCCAGAAAACAATTGCCTTTATCTGGCAGAACCAGCAGTCTAACCACTTCTGAGTTACCAAAAGGCAAGGACCCTGAAGTACCTTCTTTCCCTTCTTAAGTATTCTGATTTTTGAAATTTTTATTTTGTACTTGTGTAATTTAGAAGTAGATTCATCTGAATTCAAACCCCAGAGCATGCATGTTTCAGAGTGGAATATGTAAATCATTATACCTGAAACACAACCTGAAACAAAACCTGAACAGCGAATAAGAATTACAAATTAATCCTTAATACAAAAAAAAAAATCCTTAATTCAAAAAAAAGGCCATCATATATACAGGGTAACTTAATTTTACCACGTTGATTTAAACTGCAGGTCTCCCAACACACACAGGCAGGGGAAGAAAGAACACCAAAGGTCACTGCAGCTCTCACTACCATCCTTTCTGCATATGCTTCAGTTCCTAATGAAGATCTGACAAGTGAGGAATATCATAAGAGGAGCGGCTGGGAGACACCATGGGAGCAAGTGACTGACCAGTGGTCTCTTTTCAGAAGTTCTCCAAAAAAAAAAAAACCACCCCTGCCAGGTTTTTCTTTGAGACCTCCATGATCCTGTTGCTATCAACTATGGTAGTCACGGCGAAACAATCAGATAATGGTAAAATAGCATCATCCTCAATACCAGCTTTGCATATTCTGTTGATAAGTGTAACTGATATTTGTGTACATTGTTACTTGCTCAATCATGCAAAGTATTAACTACTATGCCTTAATTTGGGTAAATATTCAAATGGTCTCTGGGAAAGCTGCAGAACTACTCATTTACTTAAACTCAGGACACATTTTTTTTGTGCTTTGCCCAATTATATGGTGTCCCAGCAGGAGCACAAAATGCTTCCCATACTCTGCCAAGTCTCCAGCATCCTCAATCCAAACAATGCCTTCCTAAAAAAACCCTACTATTAGCATATCTATGATAAGAAAATAAGATTCATTATGACTACATCTACATGACGATCAAAGGTATGCCTGCAGCTCATCTCAGTGTATCTCAACGAGCTTCAAAGCCACTAACTTCAGCACTGATAACGCTGCAGCTGCAGCAGCACCGAGCTCAGCACAGGCTGCACAGCAGAACAACCTGGGGAAGTATTTGGCCAGCAAAGCCACGAGCAGTTCAGGATTGCTGCACCAGTGGCATTAGCAGCCCCCCCAGCAAACTCCAGCACTGACACGCACCCTGACGTTCTGAATCAAGTCACTGTACTCTGCTGGCACCCTCTTGTTCTCACCCTCTCCTTTTATCTGTGGATCAAAACACGTCTATAATAAATTATAAAGTACAGTCTGCAGGGATCCAACCATTTTCCTTCAACGCTTGACCAGTCTTATTTATATCATGATAATGCTTATTTTGAATGCTACAGAGCATGCTATAGGAAAGCCTTATACTGCAGAGCAGCAGATCGCTTATTGGGACACTACTAAATGCCAGAAATACTTAGTCTGCAAAAAGAGTTTTTATATAAATGCAATATCTCTCTTAACAAGTTCTTGAGATACACTGCAATTCAAACCTTAGCATCATTTCAGATGAAAGTTTCAGTGTGTCTATCTCAGTAACTTCCAAAGGGCATCCTGCACAGTGTATCAGCTGTGCAGTTCTAGTGCTCACCCATTCTGGGGCTTGGTTTTGGTTCCAGTTGTCCTGTGAAACGGAGCGTTTTGCACTTTGGGAAAGAGGAATCTATTTATAAGCCACGTATTCATTTCAAACTGAGGTGCTTAACCCTCACAGAGACAAATGTGTGAGCCAAACTATCCCGCTTTCTCAATTGAACTCTCTACAGGAGACATGGGAATTCCCTCAAAGTTGACAAGTGTCAACCCCATCAAACCCGAGCCATATCATGGTCAAACACGTAAGGCGATACTTGTCAGATCTCCAAAACATTTGGACAAAAAAAATGAGGACACCTAGACACTATGGACTGTCATTTAGTAGGAAAAGATACGTTTTAATACAGCTTTTTTTCTTCCCCCATCCCCTACAGCTTCTGTTCACAAGGCGTTCAGCTGGACAATCATTTGAAAAAAATTGAATGTTAGTCCTCTCATTTCTTCTGGTCCTTCATGAGGGGGCAGAGGAAATCTACTCACCCAGGCCTCGGTACCTGGCTGGTTCTTCAGGGGTCAACGATTTGTCTACGTGGCTCAAGACACATCATTTGTTGCACTATCTAGAAAGTCAGACATGCTCTCTCCTCCTCTGAACTGGAAATACCATAGATTAATTAGAGCTCCACACAGAGGGGTGTGACTAGTGGTTTCACAGAATGCAGGGGACACACAAAACCCTCTTGTTCTTACTCTTTGAAATGGATTGACCGTAAGATTTGAGGTCAAGAATAATTTTCTCTGGGGTCTGGCCCTGTGTTTTTTTCACCTTCTCTGGCAGCATAAGGTATGGTTTGGCCACTGCACTTATCTGAATACATCTCTTCATTTTCCTGTAGCTGCAGAGGTCTTGTATGTAAGTGGCAACCCAGGCTAGCCAGTTCATGAAGATATTAGTCACACAAGGACGAATTAGACTTGATATAGAGCCACTGAGTGTAACTTAATGCCCAACATTATATAGGTGAGACAAGTGATTCCACAAGCTGTGTGATGGTTTGCAGAATGGCAGGCCAGAATAAATTAAAGCTCTCAAATTAACAGGCAGTACAAATGAAAAATTAAACAGGTGTCTGGAAAATGGACATGGGTTTAGTTTGTATTTTAAGCTGCACGTTCTCCAGCTTCTGACTCAGCCTTTCAAAACCCAGGCAATACCTCTTTTCTGGGGACAGCAGGTTTACTGCCGTGCTGAGACAGCAGCTCTGCCTCTGTGTTTTCAGAAACATCAGCACAGTGCAGAGGCAGCGATGGAGATTATTTCATCTGACTTGTCAGCCAGCGCACAGCAGCAACTGTGAAACTCTGGTTGTACTATCAGAGCTCCTTCCCAAAGAGAAACAGGGCAGAACTCTGTTCTGAAAGCAGAGCTCTTTCCTAAACTAGATATGAAGCACCACTGTTATAACATTACAAAGAATACTGTGAAACCTTCCAGAGCCCAGACTTCCTAGGCCTAATTTTACAACCCCCAGGCAGAAATCTGCTCCTTTACAAAGCTTTGCAAATTTCCACCTGCTCAGAGCAAAGACATTTTTTTCTTGAGAAGTCATCCTTTGCCTATGACAGCACATTGTCTTCAGTTATATCAGATAAGCAAGTCCACCAGGGTAACACCTGGGCTGGCAAGTTTCGAGGCAGTCCAACAAGACACAGCTACCAGTTTGTGAGCTCCCTCGTTCTGCACCAACGCGGAGAGAGCTCCACCTACTGCACCCTCACACGTTAGTGGTACTTCCCGCCGCACTGGCAGCATCCAGCATCTTCTACCTTCATGCTAACCTAATCTGTGAAATTCAGCAAGAAGGTGATTCAAAATGCAACAGGTGGAGGAAGTATGCTCAGCTTCCCTGGGGAGGCACTTTTGCCCAGTACAGCTTATCACATTTGGGCTTGTTTACAAATAGATACGCCAACCTGCGTATAAAAGCCAGCAATGCAACGGTTTTTCTTCCTATTCTCAGAAGAACAAGTCCAGGCATGATCTTGCTGGAAACACTGTGCTGCTCCAAATGACCTTTCAAACGAAATACAAAGTTACAGGACTTACCTCTTGTGATCCTCAGCTCCCTTTGTGATCTGAAGCAGACAGGTCAGGATCATTTTTAAAAGGGCAATTCCCAAAGTGTGAGTGTGAAAAGAAGCTGCTGACCTTATCCCCAGACATTAAAAAGAAAAGGTGAGCGCTACCAACCCTTTCTCTAGGTCAAGAGTCCCTGGTTTCAAGACCTCTCCATCAGACAGCGCAGATTTACTAGCAGAATTGTAGCAGCTTTCATTTTCCACATAAGAAAAAGGAACAGGAAAGCAAATTTGTGTTTAAAGACCAAATTTTGCAGATATTAAACACACCACAGCCCCAGCGGTTTTGAAAAATAGTTTCTGTTGTGTAAGGAGAACAATGTTAAACCCACAATATGAAATTCTGTAAAGGACTTCATAATGACAGAAAGCAGTATATTAAGATAGAAATTATCTTAAAACCATAATAAAAAAAAAAAAAGGAACACCAATGTGGAAGTGTTGAAAAGATGCCACTGAAAAAGAGGCTTCAAAATTATAAAAGTATCCTGAATGTAAACTAACTTTAACCAAGCTGCTCAGAACCAATATTTAAAGCTCTAAGAATTCAGACCATTTAAAAAAAATGTTGGGGCTTCAAGTTAGTTAGAACTGTGTACACTTAAAAGAAAAAAGAAATCCTCCCAAGCCCCACAGTTCCTGATTTACCTAAGTCATGATACAAGGCAAGTTCAGGAAATTATGTATTTCCAGCAGCCTCATTTCTCTGGGACAGGCACTCACTGTTTGCCAAAAGCTTTGACTAACTGGGATTCTGACAAAATTTCATCGGTTTCCAAGCTATTGAGAAAGATTTAGACCAGATTTATACAAGAGAAGGTGTGAGATAAATGCGTTGGAAAATGTAATTATTATCAGAAAAAACTTTTAACACAAAGTCCTTGGTAGCATACACTCTTGCATTGGCACAACTGTGTTGCTACTAGAGGGGTTTTGTTTTTTTTTTTTCTCTTAAAAATTTGTCAAAGCTACCCCTCCCTCAAGAGGAAAATAAAAACAAAAAATCTCAACCCCCCAAACACCCCAAATACTAGAAATTGTTGCTACACTGACAAAGAATTGCAGAATGCTTTGGGCTGGAAGGGACCTTCAAGATCATCCAGTGCCACCCCCTGCCCCGGGCAGGGCCCCCTTCCCCCAGCCCAGGGGGCTCCCAGCCCCGTCCAACCTGGCCTTGAACCCTTCCAGGGAGGGGGCAGCCACAGCTGCTCTGGGCACCCTGGGCCAGTGCCTCACCCCCCCCCCCCGCACAGGGAACAATTAAACCTACTCTCTTTCAGATTAAAACCGTCCCCCCTCTTCCTACCCCCACACCCCTGATCCAGAGTCCCTCCCCACCTCTCCTGTCCCCCCTTTAAGCCCTGGGAGGCTGCTCGAAGGTCTCCCCGGAGCCTTCTCTTCTCCCCAGCTCTCTGAGCCACTCAGCTTCAGTGTTTGTCCTGGCTAAATATCTGAGTTTGAGACATCACAGCCAAACAACCTCTCTTCTTCCCCTCCGAAAACACAAGGCTGGTACGTTCAAAGCTGCATCTGACTTCTTCCCCTAACATTCATCTCACACCCACACAAGGTCGCTTCACGCTGCCGCAGTGGCTTTGCCAGCCTCAGGTTTACAGCTGGACTCGCTGACCTTAAGGGTCTTTTCCAACCGAAATGATTCTGTGACTCTACCTGCTGGTCAGCAGTGAAACTCTTGCCGTTTGAGGGAGGACCGAAGTGCTGTATCATCCACCCCTTCCCAGAACGGGACTACGCAACCCTGCACCCAAACCTGGCATGGCTGGCCAGCTTTCACAGCGTCAGGGAAGGTGGAGAAGCAGGCAATTTCTGTGAAATGCAGGGAAAGCAGGCTGTCAGAGGCAGGAGAGGGGCCGGCCTGCCTTCAGGTGTCCGAGAGGAACGTGGAGCGGCCGCTGCCCGGGACGTGTTGGGGAGGGCGAAGGGTGAAGACCCGCCTGCCAGCCGGGCTGGGCTGTCACCTCACCCCCTTGGATTTCACGCCCCGTTTGCAGGAAGAGCCCCGAGGGCCACCTTCCCTCCAAGAGCGAGAATCCCGACAGCCTTCCACGGCAAAACGGGACCGCCCCGGGCCGGGAACCGGGCCCGGACACCCCTACACCCCCTCCCCTCAGCACCACCAGCAGGGCCTCGCCGCCTGAGAGACGGCGGGCAGAGGGAAGGGCGGGAGGCCAAGGATCCTGAGGGAACCACCGCCCGCCATGGCGGCTCCCCCACAGGGGAAGGCCTGAGGCGAAGCGAGGCGCCCCTCCCCGCCTCCACCTTCCCGGACTTTTCCACCGAGAACAGAGACAAGGAGGAGAAAGCCCAACCAGGCCGTGACCCACCTGCCCTCGCCCGGCCGCGGAGGCGGGTGGCAAAGAAGAGGAGGACGGCGAGCAGCGCGGCAACGGCGGCGAGCAGCGCGGCGTCCATTGCCCCGGCCCCCCCCCTTCCCCTTCCCCGCCCCGCCGGCCCGGCCCCGCCCATATGGGGGCGGAGCTTGATGCGCGCCCAGCCCTCCCCGCCGCAAGGCCCCCCCCCCACCTGGGTGCGGGCTGCCCGCGCGCTGCCTGAAGCACGGAGGCGCTGAGGAGGACGCAGCGGGGCCGGACAGGCGTGGCTCAGGGCAGCCCGCGGTTAGGGCGGGGCGGGGGGGGGGGGGGCCTGGCGCGGCTGTGAGGGAGCGGCGGCCCCGCGGAGGGAGCGGCGGGGCCGGGCCGGGAAAATGAAAGGAAAAATTAAAAACTATGAGGCAAAACCTCTCGCCAACGCGGCGCCGGGGAGGCGTGTTCCTCAGCAGGCGGCCCACGCGTTTGTGTGGGGGGTGTCTTCACCCGCGAGCTTATGCCACGAAGTGCGTGGCGAGCTTCAGCAAGGCCGGCTGCTGGGGCGGCCCTGGCCGGCAAGCTTTTAAATCGCAGCTGTGAGTAATCTGTAACTTCTGCCTCTCAACCAGCGGCGTGCGGGCACGGAGTCCCGCTGGAGCTGCCTGGCTAGGGTCCTATGATAGCCCGAACATGACAAAATCAGAAAGCCTGACTTTGGGCCGGCCCAAAACCAGCTGTCTCGTGTAGCAAACTGGCTTAATTCGGTAAAACTAGGAAGCCAGGCTGCCCAGAGTTAGCGGATTTGTTTAAAAATCAGGTTTGCATTGGTCTGTGCGGAGCCAGTGCAAGGTGGGTGGGCTTTGGCTGGAGGTTGATAATTGCTTTAGGCTGAGCTAATGCTGGTGTCCAGCCAAATGGAGGATCTGCCTTCCGTCGCTTCCCTTTTACTGGTAGCAGTGCTCCATGACTCTGCAGTGGGCCACAGCAGGGAAATAATTTATTTTTCTTTATTTATTTTTTTTCCTGCATTTGGTTTTTAGCCAGATCAGAACATGCATCAGCACAAAAAGATGCTGCAGAAACTTGCAGCTGAGGGTGGAGAAAAAACTTCCCCCCTCTTTGGATGCTCACCCACTGTTAGATCCGAAGCTGTTTGTTGGGCTCAGCCCTTGTCCTTCTGTCCGTGAGAAGGAAAGGATTTGAGTTTTTAATCGTTTTGACTTTGTGGTTGTAAAGTTCCGACTGATGTAGCCCTTTCTTGCTTCAGAGACCCCTTCAGTGTGCCTTTTAAAGCACTGTGTGTTGTGGGGGGGAGATGTTTTAATAAATTGGAAATTAGAGACTATTGGACATCTAGACATGAGCAAAAAAAACGTTTTAGCTAATCAGTCATTACTGTGGACTGCACAGCTGCCTGTCCATATCCTGTCATGAGCTTGAGACAAATACATATCTGTCTCTCAGGAAAAAACAGCTTCTACTAGGAAATTTGCTAAGTCTTAATGTAGAACCAGTGGGAAGTTCTCAAAAAGCAACTGAACTACAGACTGGATGTTTTATTACAAAGTTTTGTTAATAATTATCTTTCAAATCTCTTTTTGGAAATCAATGGCAATGCCCCTTTGTTCATGCTCTGCTGAAACTCCCTGTGCTCTGTTTCTGTCTTACCAGGTTAGTCTGGTGATAGGTGGTCAGAAGGAACGTGGCTTCTGGTAACTATTGAAGTACAAGGGAAATTGCACCTATACACAATTAGATAAATTATGAACTGAAGCTTTGCTGGTGGTTGTCTTCAGGGTATGCTTCAGACAATGGTTAATCATCTGTAATGGTCAGGATTGCTTGTAAAAATAAAAACTGAATGAAAAATGTCTGCGTTTTTCTTTTATGCTTTTGCCTGCAAATTTGAAAACTGGTCACTCTTTAATGAGAGTTTAAACCAAAGTTCTTAGTTATTTTGTCCATAAGATGTTTCACTTTCTTAACGTCCATTCCAATTAGAGAACATACCTAAGGCATTCCTAAGGAATATTATGTGCTCTAACATTTGAATGTTCTTCCGTAGCCCTGTATCAAGTCCTGTAACTGCTGAGAAAAAGGTAAATGGACACAGGCCAAGTGTGCTCTGCCCCGCGCTGGGGTTGTGGCTGAAGGAGCGGGAAGCGGTGGGGAGTTCTCACAAACCTCTCTGTTTAGTGATAGTCTCAGTTTAACTCCCTCCAAGGTGCTCTGGGTGCACAAGTAGCCGTTTTCTGGAGTCATACACCAAGCAAAGCCTGAAAGATGCATCCAGAAAGAAGTGTTATTACAGAAATAAATATATATATATATATATATATTTTTTTTTAATTTTGCTTAGCTGCTGTCATTTGTGCTTTGGTAGCAGCAGCTACAGCAGATGTGGAGGGAGTTGATGGCTCCCAGATCTTATTTTCTCATCATCCTTACCCTGCAGCCAGCACTTAATTTTGAGAGGGATATGTATTTTATTTGCTTGCATGGTCCTTACAGCCTTTAATAAGGAGATAATGATGTGATGTCATCCTCTCCTCTCTGGGCTGCAGAGGTAGCAGATGGGGTTTTTCCTGCAGGTGTCACCATTATGCTGTTGAGGAACAGAGCTTTAACTCTACAGATGAACCACAGCTCATCAGATGCTCGGTTTGGTTATGACACCAGGGTCGTCTTCAGGAACATTTTACATCCCTTGGGTTGTACTTCTCAGATGCCCTTTTATATTTTTTTCCTAGTTTAGATCTGGAAAAATCGCTCCAGTTTCTTTAATAGCCACGTAGATTTCAGAGGATTTTGAGAATGACTTTCTACCAAGACCCTAGGAAAAATGTATGTGAAGGCTGGGCTGAGCAGAGGGTGTTCATTGAGTTCAGTGACCGCTGTGGGATCATGACTCGTCCCAATCTTGCAAATACCCCACTGGGGTGGGATCACAGTAATCCGAAACTTGCAAACGCATGTGATTTCTTCAGCCAGCTTGTGGGCAGCACGTGATCCTGATGCAGGCAGTTGCGGGGGGGGGAAATACATTGCTTTTCAAATTACTCTTTATTTTGACGCATGGTCAAATAGCACATTCCTCCCTCAAATCCCTCATTGTATATAGGAATTATATATACTTGCGTGAGTGCTCGTCACTTCTTTTTAATAGCAATGAGAATTAATCCAGCTGGCGGTGCAGTCCCGGAGTGTTTGGTTCCGTAAGTGTACGGTGGCGTCATGTATTGATGTCCGGTAATGAGACTCTAAGTAGAGGCAATTCAGCTTCGTCTGTACTAATAAACTAAGTGCATCCAGGAACTAAATGTATCCTGGGCCCTGTGGCCAGCTGGCACAAAATGCCCTCTTCCACGCTTGTAAACTGTCTTGCCTTCCGGAAGAAGGTGGCTGGATGCAAACTGCCGGCTGGGAGTTGTTCTTGGACTGTTCTGGGTGTCGAACCATGCCTGGGAATTGAATTATCTAGGAAAATGCAAATTGACACCCAAATTTATGCTGGGGGACTTTCTAACAATTTTCTCACTTTCCCGTGCCTGGGCATGCCTGAATTTACAGCGTGGATGTAACCTTCGTGTAACGGAATATATTTACAGGGAGAAATGATGCAAGCTCTGCCTGCCGGCTCCCTCCCACTTGGATATGGACCTCTGGTATTCCTCCAAACACTCATCAATAAATGTGCTAATGAACAGAAGCAGTTCTAGATCCACTCCTTTGTGCCAGTGGGCACAAAAGGTCTTCAGCACCTTCCAGGAAGCACTGGGTGGATTGCAGGATGGGACCCTGGGAGGTGTCTGAATCAGTGTGCCGGAGTTAAAGAGCTGCCGAGGTGTTTTACAGCTGCAGGGCAGTGAACCGGTAACCCGACATGTGGGGCCAAGTCCACCCAGCACCTTGGTGCACCATGGGGCAGCTCAGCACCTCCCCAAAGCCTCCAAAGAAAGCTTGTGAAACCTGGCTTGGCCTGTTGAGACCCTGATGCTTTGTTCTCACTGCTCTACTTGGATTGCTTGTTCTAAGAGAAATAACATGACTTATTGTTGCTTGAGATAAATTCTACCTTAAACAGAGAAATGTAAATAAAAGTAACAGTCGTAATCAAAATAGTGTCTTAGTTCTTAAAAACAAAACTGCAAAATTAAGATATGCATGAAAGCAAGATGTAAACAAGGCAGAGGAAAATAAGGTTCTGCTTGCATTGGTCTCTTGTTCCAGGTTACTGAAGTTTTTATTGAAAGGGCATTATTTGTCAGGGCTCTGCCATGAGAACGGAACTGCAGCCCTGGATTTCCATCTCCTGTATGCTCCCAGGTTGAATGCAAGTGAAGTTCTGTGGTCCTGCCTTGGTTAGGCTGTGAGAATGCTAACAGAGCTTAGTTGGAAGTTGTATGAGAAAGACCTGCTAGGTGGGATCTCATGGTTATCTCCTTATTTTCCTTTTTTCTACTGAGTTCAGGGGATCACAGTCATCAGCTGCTCTGTCATTTGCAAATAGGATACCACAAACTTGATTCTCACTATGTGGAAGTTTCCATTTTTTATTTTGTTTTTCCTCTGTTTCAGAGTCCACGGCACTTTGGCAGGTGCTTTAGGTTTGAAGTTTTGAAGCCACTGGGAGGTTTGTCCCACCGCGTTGTGTTTCATGGCAGCTCATTTCTGCCCTGAAGGTTTGAGTGTCTGCGCTAGTTCAGCCACAGCTTCTCCTGGGGCAGGTGTTACTGGCTGAGTGATGCAGGGGGTGAGACTTGGTGGTCAGATAAAGGCCTCTTTCACCTGAAAAGCTAGGGGAAGATATGAAACAAATAATGCCAGTAAAAATATAAATCTAAAAGAAATCCAGCGAGGCTAAGGATTTCCTTGAGCAGGTCTTCAAAAACAGTTGGAGATCGAGGCCGCCGTGCTAATGAGGGATTAAAGAAAAAAGTAGTGGTGAAGTAGAATCCCTAAGACTGAAATTCAGACACTTTCCTCCTGCATGGCCGCAGGGTTGGGGATTTACCTTCTCACTGTGACTCAGCCCCTCGCAGTGGAGCCTGGCAGACAAGGCGCTGGCTTGAGCTGCAAAAGAGCAGCGTGGGTGAGAAGCGATTCTCAAAAATTTCCTGGTG